CCAAAACCCTAGCCACTATAGAAAACCCCAGCCACAGAATCATCAGAGAAGCCATAGAGATTGAAAAAAGAGCCGTCCATTTACCCGGAGCCAAGCTGCACTAAAGGCCTCCAATAAAGTAACACAATGTTGCCAGCCAATCAAGAGACAAAAAGAGCCAAAAAACAGACAGGAGATATTAGAAACACCAATCAAGCAGAACACAGCGAACTCCAAGACCAATAAACACAGACCAAGACTCCCAACCAATCAGGGTGAAGAAAAAACCATTCTGGCACAGCAATAGGCTGCCCCAAATTTAAATCTGAAACCACTATAAAAGCCTGACTCATAGATGAACACTATACAGAAGCCTGATGATGGCAGATGAGATTCTGCTGAAACGTCGCTACAACTTTAAAAGCACAACTACTGTGACGTGGGAAAATACCCGAGCAAAGCCGAATGCCATACATGTAAGTACCCATTTTGTGTTTTTCTTTTCTACATTTCTGCGTTTACATTTCTACAGGTTGTAAAGGCATATGACCGAGTGGAACAGGAGTGGGTAGCTATTAAAATTATAAAGAACAAGAAGGCTTTCCTAAATCAAGCCCAAATTGAAGTGCGACTTCTTGAGCTTATGAACAAACATGACACAGAAATGAAATATTACATAGGTATTTATCTTTTCAAGAAATAACTTTTAACTATCTCAGTTTTTATAATGACTTACCATTATATTTTCATTGTTTTTGAGGTTATAAAGATATCTATCCTTTTAAAAAATCTTCTTAGTTAATTTTTGTAAATGTCCACTTCTAGGCTATTTAAGGAGCATTGTGTAATAAATTCTATAATTTCTTAAACTTTCACCAGTTATGTATTCAATCTGGATCTATTTTTGTACAGTTAGTCTTCATTGCCTCAAAAAAATTTAGAATCTTTTGGATGTTTTATGCAGAAAGTTACCATTATTCATTACATAAAATAAATGGTTCTAAGTTTCTTGCTGAAGCTTTCCATTGATCTTTTTGATTCATGAATAGAAACTTGATGTCTATATATGATATCAAGCCTTTTATGCAATTGCTCATACTTTTGATTTCAGATTGTTCTAGTTGATATGTATTTGTCAGAAAAAGTTTAATGTTAATAAGCAATTTGCCTTTCTTCCAGATTGTAACTTATGAATATTACTTCCTTGATAATCTTAACAGTGAATCTCTTTATAATCAAGTGAATTTTAGTTAACAATATCTACCCCTATAATATACTAGCTTTCTCTCATACACCAACTGAATCTACTGATTCAGTCTTCAGAAAGACTGAACCTTTGTCTCATACACCAGCTGAATTAACTGGAGATAATACAGTAATGACTTTTATCAGCAGGTTATATACTCAGTACCCCTCCCTCCCTAGGGACATTTAAAACAAACATTTAAGTATTTCATTTTATTAAGATAGAAATTATGGCCTGAAAAGCAGGTTTGCCAAGAATAAAATCAAATAAGCAATCACATTTCTATTAATGCCTTCAACATGGTATGTTTGTATTGTCCCCGTTTTGATTCTGAATAGTATAGGAAGATATGAATGAATTAGTATACTTGACCTTGGATATATTTGTTGAGTTTAATTATTGCAATGGAATCCTGGATTTCCCTAACTGAAGCCCAAATATTGGCCTGCTAGATGAGACCTCAGATTATCAGTTTCTCAGATGATTCAGATTCAGTAGGACTAAATTGCTCCAAGTAATACTGAGAAAAACAAAATCATATGCTATGAATATGTGTTTTCAATGTTCTAGTCTTCACTTGTAAAGCTCAGAAATGGTTAGTGACTGTCATATTTAAAACACAACCTTTTTCATTAAATTACTGCCTGTAATTTAGTCCATACTTTGGAAGTTTGGAATGTTCCACCATCAAAAGAAGCTAAATATATAGAGACATGAGATACTCTCTTCCTAATACTTTCTAAGGTTAGACTAGTCTTTTCTTTATTTAACATCTTTTGAAAAATATTATTTTCCTCCCACGTATGACATCTGATTGTTTTTAGATAAGCTCCTCATTTTTAGGAGCATTTTCATGCCTTAATTTTACAATTATCATTTTAATTATAAGACATGTTAAGGAAGTGGGTACTCAGATTATTTCTTTAACAGTGAATGAGTAGATGAAACTATCAAAATGGCAAGAGACACTAAGACAGGGAAATACTCAATGTAAGCATTTAAAAAACACTTCTATAATTGTGAAATTATAAAAAGTAGCTTTTTCTGAAGTAATGGCAGCTCTGTAACTAAAGTTAATTTTATGTTTTTATGTAATTCAGAATGGTTTAATTATTCATCTGCTGTGCATTCTGTTGCACAGTGAAATATAATATATAAGAGCGATTCTAAAGCAGCACTAAACATTAATGAAATTTGCTTTTACGTATTTGCTTGATTCTAGACAAGAAAATAAAGGCACATATTCTTTTTGTAATGGCAGCAGTATATTTTTCTTTAGTATATTTAGTTTAATTAAATTTTAGTCTAATTTCAAATAGTTTAAGCAGAAAGGTTGTGTATTGATCAGAAATCTGAAGCCTCAAGCATAGGAAGTCTATAAATGAAGGGATATAGTCTGTACTTTTTAGAAAAATAAGTGCCACCATTTTAATTTTAGCATCATGTGATTTTCAAAGAAAGAAATTACTTTTTTTCCAAAAAGAAATTTTTGTTAATGAATATAGAAAAGTAAAAGGACAGTTGTACTTTAAAAAAAGTTTGGCAGACTTTTGGGCAAACTTTGGAAGCAATAGCTTTCTTAAGGAGATGCTTAAAGGTTTGAGACTATACCTGTAATTTAATACCTTCCCCCTTCTTTTTTCTTTCAGTGCATTTGAAGCGTCACTTTATGTTCCGAAACCATCTCTGTTTAGTTTTTGAAATGCTCTCTTATAATCTCTATGACCTTCTGCGGAATACAAATTTCAGAGGGGTTTCATTGAATTTGACGCGAAAGTTTGCACAACAGATGTGTACTGCACTGCTTTTTCTTGCAACTCCTGAACTTAGTATCATTCACTGTGATCTAAAACCTGAAAACATCTTGCTGTGTAACCCCAAACGAAGTGCTATCAAAATAGTTGATTTTGGCAGTTCTTGCCAGCTTGGACAGAGGGTAAGTATTATCACTTCAAGATATTTCAGTATGGCTTGTTGTTTTGTTTTGTTTATATTTTAAATAAATCAGCATGCCCCCAAAATACATGTTCCTAATTACTACATAAGGACAAAATAAGCAAAATGTTTTAGCGATAAAGGAACTACCCATATTTCTGCCTGTTTTCTAACTAAGCATTGAGAATATATACAGTATATATATCTGTATGGCTGCAAGTCTCCATAATAGTAAATGATAATTCTGTTTGCATTATAGTGCATAGTTAAACTCTGTTGAACTCTTTACTAAATCACAGCCAGAATGTTAGTTTTGCATTTATAAAAAACATCTATTTGCGAGTGCACAGTTTGGGTGGCTCAAATAGCACAGTGATTCTGTTTCAGAAAGCAGAAGGACAGGGTTTGTTTAGGTTTTTAAGGTTTCTTGAAGTTATACATTTTAAGGTTCGAATCAAGGATTCCTTAATGGAATTCTAAGTCTATAGACTAGTCTGCTTAGCTTTAAAAAAATATCCCAAGAAGTCACAGCAAACCACTTTCATATTGTCAAGAAAAGATATATAGATGTGGAGTCCTTATTGCTCTCTGGGATTGATTGTTTGCTTGCAGAAATTTCATTACCCAATTAAGTAATATCATCAGTGCTAGTGAGCGTAAGATTTGTTCCCTGTTTATGTGCAGGATCTTGCCCTGCCAATATTGATGCAGGTATGATTTTTTTCCCTTTGTAAATCTTTGAATATAGCTTTCTAGTCGATTGTTTGCCTGATATTATTCCCTGGTTCTCTAAGTGTTGGTTACTGGAGAGGATGTTTTTTTTCCCCACTGTACATAAACAGGGAGAAAATTCCACATTCAGTTAAAACTGATGATATTATCTACTTGGGTATTAAAATGTCTGGAAGCAGACAGCTCCACAGTTCAACCTTGAATTAAATAGATTCTCTTTTATTGACATATATAGATATGTCTCTGCATCACCTGAAGTTGAACTCTGCTTGAAGAAGGCTTATTTTATTACATTGTTTAGAATCTAGTAGCAAATTTATATTATGGTTTTTATAGTATGATTCTACATATGTCGGGCACAAACAATCAGATCCACATGTGAAGGGTTGAAGTGGAGTGCTTTATTACATCCTATCTATAATGTAAGAATCTCTCCAGACTGCTTTCCCTCTCTAGGGAACAAAGAGATAAGTTTCCATGGAACATGTGAGTGAGTGTGTGTGTGACTAACCCCTGCTTGATCCCTCCTCCTTGCCTGGTTAGTAGTTTCCCAACATCATGAATCTTTCACAAATAAGGAAACAGAATTGCTGTCAATGGAGCAAAGTATTTTTAACATTTTCTGCTGTATAATTGCATATTTAACTTTAAGCTTCTTTTTTAATTACCAAGTTTTGTAGATTTAAATTTTTTCTCTCCTTATTTGTATTTCAAACAAATTATGTGTAATATAGAATCATTACTTTCTACCTACAGATTGGGGATTATTTAATGTCTTTGTTTGTAAAATGCAGATATATCAATATATCCAGAGTCGTTTTTATCGATCACCTGAGGTGCTATTGGGAATGCCTTATGATCTTGCAATTGATATGTGGTCCCTTGGTTGTATCTTAGTGGAAATGCACACTGGAGAACCTCTTTTCAGTGGAGCAAATGAGGTATGTTAATATTCATATGAATTTTTATTATGTTGAGTTGCCTATTTCTTTAGTTTTAAATATTTGGTTATACTTCTAATTGATTTTTCTCATTTGAAACAGGTTGATCAGATGAATAAAATAGTGGAAGTTTTGAGTGTACCACCTGCTCATATTCTTGACCAAGCACCAAAAGCAAAAAAGTTTTTTGAGAAGTTGCCAGATGGCTCTTGGACCTTAAAAAAGACCAAAGATGGGAAAAGGGTAAATAGATATTTTAATCTTTGATCTAGATTAATCTGTTTGTAACTGTGTTGGCTCCCTTGGCTAAAAAACAGAAATGAGCACTATTCCCTAGAATCAGAATCAACTGGACAGGGGAAATCTTTACTTTTACTTTTAGCTAATTCTGATTTAAATGAGAACACTTTCCCTTAGAAATTAGAGAAAATTACTAATGTTCCTAATTAATTATTAATACTTCCTACTATTAAGAAGTGTAATAGTAATTGGCAAGCATACATCATTTTCGGTCCAAAAATACTTCACTTTAGATAGATTGTCAGAAATAAACTATGCAGTAATTGTTGTAATTATTTAACTCTACTGTACAGCTTTTACTAAAGAGAATAAAAGCAAAAGTTAAAAAATATATAAATGTTCAGGCATCCCAACCCCTGAAGGGAGGTATTTTGGTTTAGAATTTAAGAGCTGGACAACGTAGGCACACACACACACACACACACACGGGGGGGAGGGAGAGAGAGAGAGAGACTCTTTTGGAAGTTGTACTTTTGTTCTGTGGCATATGTTAACACATACTATAAACTTTCTAAACTAAGGGAAATCATAGAGAAATGGTGTTGTAAGTCACCAGAATCACTGTCTTTTGTTATTCTATATTTATTATTAAATGTGTTGGTTGCCCATCTTACCACAGGGTAACTCTGCAGCATATAAATTTAATAAATAAATAAATAATATATTCATAGAGGAATAGTTTATAAGCATTGCCATCTGATCTCAGGATCTCTAAGTGGCTGTTGTAATACATGAATATAATATTAATCTACTGTCATGGCATGTGGAAATGACCTTCAGAGATGAGGGGAAAGACAATATCTAAGGAAGATTGGACGGAGAAGGAGGCTTAACAGGCAGAGAAACAAATTTAGGAAGGGCATGCCCTAATTAGTTAAATCAAAAGTGGCAGAAGATTTATACTTTCAGATTTGCAAATTTGTTGTCCACCTTCCCAAGTATATTTCTCACCATTACTTTTAACAGCCTGACCAGTTGTTTTTTTTGGGGGGGGGGGGGCTCCCTCCTAAGTTTATTTGACCATTAAGCCACTAGGGGCTCTTCCTTCTCTTGTCTGACCATTCCTGTCTGATTATTCTTTTTCCTTCGCCCCATAAGGTCTTTCCCACATATCATTATATCTACATATGGCAATTGTTACATATTGTGGAATGAGGATATTTCTCTTTGGTTTTCTTTTAAAGTAAATGATTATTGTTAATATTTTGATAACTGTACAGGTTTCAGAAGTGACTTGCCATTTTCATCTTCCTACAGCTGAGAGTGACTAGCGCAAGGTCACTTAACTGGCTTTGTGTTTAAAGCAAGACTAGAACTCATAGTCTCTCAGTTTCTATCCTGATGCCTTAATTTTTACACTAAAGTATCTCTGAAGACTTCAGGGATTCAGCCAGGTAGTCACCAGGGGTCAAAAACAAAAACCAATAACCACAACAAAAACCAAAATATGCTAAATCAAGGGCAGGAGTTTTTTAAACAACAACAACTGGAAGTATTTATATTGTTAGAAAACTGATCTGAAATAATAAAAATGCAACTATATTTTTTAAATGTAAAGATTTTTCTAATTTTCTAACAGGAGTACAAACCACCTGGAACCCGTAAACTTCACAATATACTTGGAGTTGAAACAGGAGGACCAGGAGGGCGTCGTGCTGGAGAGTCAGGACATACTGTAGCTGACTACTTGAAGTTTAAAGACCTCATCTTAAGGATGCTTGATTATGATCCAAAAACCCGAATTCAACCTTATTATGCTTTGCAGCATAGTTTCTTTAAGAAAACAGCAGATGAAGGTACAAACACAAGTAACAGTGTCTCTACAAGTCCTGCTATGGAGCAGTCACAGTCTTCAGGAACCACTTCTAGCACGTCTTCAAGCTCAGGTATATTCGTGACTCCTACAACATTTTAGAAATGAAGTCATTGGAAGAATATTTACTATATACATAAAATGTTTTTATATTATTTTAAATCTAGCTCTCTATATCTTTTTTAAAAATTCTAGGTACCCTTTTTTTCCTTTGTAATAATCTTATTTATTATGCTTTCTTCTTGTCCCATCAAAATTTCTGATTATATCATCTTCAATGTATTTGTTTTGCTTATGATTAAAGGTGGCTCTTCGGGGACAAGTAACAGTGGAAGAGCACGGTCAGATCCAACACACCAGCATCGACATAGTGGTGGACACTTCACTGCTGCTGTACAAGCTATGGATTGTGAAACGCACAGTCCTCAGGTAGTTTTGAAAGGAAGTCTCTGTTAACTAATTATTGGTATGCTTAAATAGCTAAATAGTTCTGTTCCATGATCACACCACAGTAGCAATCTTTTACCAATTCTGCAACTTATTTTTTTATCATTCAGATAATTATTTGATAATCTGATTAAAACTGAAATCATTGCCCCAAAGCTAATAGTTCCTTCTAAATCCCATTGTTAAAATTGTTTGAACAGTTGCATATTATGCATATTTGATAGTCAGATCTAAGAACTTTTGTAATACTGCAGGAGACAGATACTAATAACATATTTCATTTTTTGAAGTTTTCAGTTATACTTTTGGCAACACATAAATCAAGTTCAATGTAGTACAAGTCTAACTATGCTTTGTTTAGATTTTATGACATAAAATAACCCTCCTTTGTGTGTGTGTGTGTGTGTGTGTGTGTGTGTTGTTGTTGTTGTTGTTACAGGTTCGACAGCAGTTTCCTCCTCCGCTTGGTTGGCCAGGAACTGAAGCTCCTACACAAGTTACTGTTGAAACCCATCCAGTTCAAGAAACCTCTTTCCATGTTACTCCTCAGCAACAAAATGCATTACACCATCATCATGGAAATAATCCCCATCACCACCATCACCACCACCACCATCATCACCATCACCATGGACAGCAGGCCTTGGGTAGTCGGACCAGGCCAAGGGTCTACAATTCTCCAACAAACAGCTCGTCCACCCAAGATTCCATGGAGGTGGGCCATGGTCACCACTCCATGACATCCCTGTCTTCCTCAACAACTTCTTCCTCTACATCTTCCTCCTCAACTGGTAATCAAGGCAATCAGGCCTATCAGAACCGCCCCGTGGCTGCTAACGCATTAGACTTTGGACAAAATGGAGCTATGGACGTCAATTTAACGGTCTATTCTAATCCACACCAAGAAACTGGCATAGCAGGACACCCAACGTACCAGTTTTCTGCTAGCACAGGTCCTGCTCATTACATGACTGAAGGACATCTTACAATGAGACAGGGAATTGATAGGGAAGAATCTCCCATGACAGGAGTTTGTGTTCAGCAAAGTCCTGTGGCCAGCTCGTGACTAAAGTGAAACAGATTTGTTTCTTGTGTGTTTTTATAGAAGTGGTGTTTTTCCAAAAAAAAAAAAAAAGTGCAAAGCTGCTTGAATCAGGAGGAGATAGACTTATTGAACCGCTACAGAAGGGCAAAGCTAACTATTTTTTTAAACTTGAACAGATTGCAGTGAAGTTTTTAGAGCCATGTTCATACCTATCCTAGATAGCTTTGAGAAGATTTCTCACCTTTTTGCCCATTTTAATTATTACAACCAAGTTACATATATATTTTTCCCCTTGTTCAACAGAATGAATATTCAAGAGTTTATCTTAGTTGCAAGCATATTTTAAGGCATGCCCAGAATCATATAAATGGGCATTTTGGGTTTTTTTCCCCCTTTTTTAATGTTAAGGGGGGAGGGGTGGGAAGTAATAATGAATTTCCATTCCCCAAACATACATGAACATAAAAAAGCAGTACTGTAAGGAAGAGGGATCCTAAGATTGCAAAACAGAATCTTTAGCTGTAAAAAAGGATAGTTGTAATGGTGTTCATGAGACACATTAAGCATGCTAAGTGGCGGTGATTAAGACTCCTTATCTGAACCTACTGAGAATCAAAGCAGCAATTATATTGGGATTCTGTGTCTCATGTTTGAGGCTACAATCAGTTAGTATTGGAATAAGACTGGTCCTGTAAGTAAGGTGCACTGAGAAGCAATCAACAGGTTGGTCTTGACCAGTCCAGGGGAAGTCTTAAGTGGTGGTCTTTGGGATAACCTTTGGCCTTATGGATTTGGACTCTTAAGTTAGAAGAGCCTACCATTTCAGATGCAATCACTTTTGGACATGCTTTTGCAGACAGTCCGTAATGCTGAAAACACAGAGAATGGGTAATTCAAGAGGCCTTTCTTTTAAAATAGACTTTGTGACCCACTTATTGTAAGGTATTGCAAAGTCACTTTGCGTGTGTCATAAAGCTGACTTCCTTATTGGTTGAAGGTCACAGGAGTAGTGGTTTGCTTTTGATGAAAATAGCTACAACTGTGTTCCTCTCTGCTTTTCACTTTCTTTTTTTTCCTTTCCTCCTACGTCTTCTTCCTCTTTTTGCTTTTTCTGGGCACGTGGTTTCTCCACTGTTACTTCTGCACAAAGATGTCTTCTGTTCAACCTGAACATTTTTAAAAATGCAGAATTTTATGTGACTGCTTTTTTGCCTCACAATTATGCTGTGAATTTTACAAAAAAAATTTCTTTTTTGATAATTTATTGTACCAAAGCTGTTTTTATAGCACATAGATGTCTGTAACCAATAATGTAGCAGTTCTGCACTTTGACACAAGGTGTAACTAGACCATTTTTAAATGTCAGTTGAAAATTATGGCTGTACTATTGCTTAAACAAAACTGGAACTGTTGTTTATTCATAGCCAATACATTTACAACAGTCTGTGTATTGAACATGATAGATAGGACATCTAATTCAACACTATAACATCTGTTGCATTATAAATGTGTTCAAGCTTCTGAAAGTAAAAGGGACAGTAAAGCCAGAAGCTATGAAGCCAGCAGTTAATTTGTTGTATCCCTTATTAGCATAAATGTAAACCTGAAGGCAAGACCTTGATTGCATGAACAGATCCAAAACACTAAGATGAGTGAAGTTAAACAAAAAAGGCTCAAGTGAAACCTGAGGCTGAGTAGGCTGTATTTAACAGGACGTCAGCTTGGCAGTTGCTAAATTTCAGAACCCTTTTGAAGAATTTTGGAATTACGAATACAAACATTGTGAATAAAAGAGAGGAATCAGGGTAATAATCAGGGTTATCTTTCCAGATTAACACTGTTTTGCCCGTTACACGAACAGAAGCAGTCATCTACCTCTGCCAGTAAACCAGTTTAAAAGGCCATTCAACAAAATACCGTGCACTTCAGATGGTTAGTCCTTATAGCAAACTAGGTCAGTTCTTCTGAACAAATTATTTTCTTTCTTTTTATAATCATTCCTTATATTGGCAACAGAGAGGCTGAATGCAGTGGGAGTATGAAAGAATGCTTTAGAAATAAGGAGTTTTTGTAAAGCAACTTTTTTATCTACGTATCCATATTTATTTTAGATTGCGTTCTCAAGCCTGTGAATTGGTATTTTTGAACTTCTGCAGTTCAAAAATGTTTGCTGAGCAAAAGGCTGTCGTCACAAAAATGGAGCATTGTGCTTAGCAATACAAAATGGAATCCAATGTGTACTGCTGTCTAGGAATATAAGGGTAACAAATATGGGTAATTTTTCTTGTGCTGGTTGCCATACTTTAACAAGCACCAAAAATACTGTTTTTAAATTTACATAAACAGAAATCATAAACTCCAGTGCTTCTGCATACTGTGTTATGTTACAGTCCAGTTTTGTGTGCTTTACTACACAGTTTGGTTACAGGACTTCTGTGCATTGTAAACATAAACAGCATGGAAAAGGTTAAATACCTGTGTTCAGATTGTAAGATCTAGTCCGGACTTGCTGTGTATATTGTAACGTTAAATGAAAAGACAAGCCCTTTGTATTATAGTCATGCAGTCTTATGTATGATAAACAGTTGAATAATTTGTCCTCAGACTCTTTACTGTGCTTTAAAAAAATAACTTAAGATAAAATGTAAACATAGTAAAATCTTCCTATGCAATTAACCTACTTCAAGGCCTGGTCTGCTAGGTATGATTATAGTAACGTGTAAATATTAGAAACATTTGAGACAGATTTTAAGAGAATATAGAAGTAAAACTTGGAGGTGTAATATATTACTTTGAGTTTTTAATTCAATAGCAAGACTTTTTTTGAAATGCCCACACCTCTTCTCTGTTTTATTCTGACTGTAAAGCATAATTTTTAGTTTTTAATTGTATACATTTTTACATTAAGTACTTTTCATATATTTCTTTTATTTATATAGTGCCTAAACAAGAGTGATCTCACAGCTGTACAAACTGTAAAACAGTTCTGATACTGCCAACAAGCTTACAAACCAGCCACAGCACTACAGGAATGTACTTCCCCAAACTAAGTTAAAGTATTAAATTAGAAATACATTTTTGAAAAAAGGATACATTTAGAACTTCTTAATCCATTCATCATAATTTTCTTTGGTTTTTAAAATTGATGATCCTTTTTCACTTGATACCTCATTATGAGGTAATGTGCAGGGACGTATTGTACTGCATCATTGTATTGTTTATGGCTGTGAGAAGCTGTTAAACCAAAAGTCAAAACATGCTTGTTCAGTCTCTTGTATGCAATGTTCAGAAAATGGGCCATGCACATTCTCAGTATTCCATATCTTAATCAGGAACAAAGATTAAGAATAAATTTAGGCCCCATACAGGACCAAATTCTGTTCTTACCTGGAGCACTTGGCAAAGAACAATAGAGCTCTAGCTCCCTCAATTGCCTGCTATAGTATGTATGGATATTGCTGCAAGAAGCAAGTACATTCTTCATGAAGCCCTTCTTGTTCTCTATGTAGTATGTGGGTAGCAAGAAGAGAAGGGTAGAACATAACTGGTGAGGCTGTTTGTAGGCTTTCCATGCAAATATAATGGCATGGACTTATCTTTACAAAACAGGGTCTAAACTAATAAATAATGCAAAATTTATCACGAATAATTGGGTTTTAGCCTAATTTCTTCTAAAATGTGAAGTGGCGGTTATCCTTTTTTAGGGTAAAAGGCTTTATACCAATGGTTTTTATCTCAGTTACTCACTATGCCCAAATAACTTTCTAAAAGTAATCCATGTTACAGGTTTTAATGCAAGTCTGTACAATACATCATTTTGTATATCCAAAATTGCACTGTTACAAGATTATTAACCAGTTTACATTTTTGTCGCATTCAGATGGGGAGGGGGTGTCACAAAAATAGCTAATGGAATTCAGTTTAACTTTTGTTCTATAGCAGTTTCCTGTTATTGTTTTAAATGTGAACAACAGATAACATTCAGATAGGATTTGACCTGAAGCTGCACCTGTTTGAACACAGGAAAAAAAACACCTTGTAAAAACCCTTCAGTAAGTTGTGGACAAACAAGAAGCCATAAGAATTGGAAGAGTTTGCAGAAGTTTTTTTTATTAACATTGTTTAATGAAGGAGGAGTTAGTTATTTCTTGCCCCAATCAAGACTACTGGTAATGAAATTAAATGCTGTGCTTGCAGCATAATCTGACTCCTTGGAGACTGGTTTAAATCCTGAAATTAAAGAATGGCTGAGTTCACATGACAATGATTGAAAATGCAACGTATTTGTTGTTTTTTCTTTTGGTTAACAAGCCTGTTCTGAATCTGCTAAAATTAATAATATTTTTTGGACTAGGCATTGCTACTACTGAGCTTCCAATCTGTTTTTAGCCTGTACAGTGTTAAACACTTTGACCAAAAGTGGAATAGTCTTTCTGGTTTTCTTTGGATGTTTTCTTCCTTCCAATTCTTTGAAACTGCTTTAAATTGTTAGGACACCTTGTTTGCACAGGTGAAGCACTCCCTTCTGATGGGCACAAATGTTTTTAGCTTGATGAAGGTCATCAGTTATGTTTAAGGCATAATTGATCTGATTTGAAAGTTGCACTGGGAATAAGATTTCCAGGAAAGGGTGGGGTGGTGTAAATTCCAATGGTTATTTCATCTCTGTCTGATAAAATTCTTTCCTGCCTGCAGAGGAACCTCATTTTTTTACTTTATCTGCACAAGCTAAGAGTTCAAAGATTCTCTGGAATCCCACATGAGACCAGAAGGTCTGATTTCAACTAGCCTTGAGAAGTTGTGGTCTTCTCCAATGCCACAACTATTCCACCTTTGTTGGATTCCTCAATTTGTATTGTGCTATCCCGATTCATATTCTCCAACCTTGCTGATTGATCTTCAGGCAAGGAAATCCATCTTGGAAGGAAAGATTTCACCAAATCACACGACTGTCCCAGAGCACCCTATCTGGAATAGTCAGAATAGAAATCTTCCCATTCCACTGACATTATAGTCGACTATATTATGCTTACTGTGTTTCTACTGGTCATCTCCAAGATCAGTCAGGTGCCTCCATTCTGCTTGGTCCTTTCAGCATTAAGCTTTTCATCAATGCATCTATATTTGGGAAGCTCAAGATATGAGACAGACCATAATATGAATAGGTCTTCTCCATATTTTCAAATGCCATTAGCTGATCATGCCTTAGACCGGGGGTCTCCAAACCTTTCAGTCTGAGGGCCACGCTGGATAATTTGCAAACATTCAAGGGACATATGTCTATGGAGATTCTCTGTCATCCAGGTCATGGTTGTCCCAAAGGTGCTTTTTCAAGAGGCAACTGGACTTTCTGGTTTGTCTTTGAAGAGATTTCGCTTCTCATCAGTGAAATGTCTTCAAAGACAAACCAGAAAGTCCAGTTGCCTCTTGAAAAAACACCTTTGGGACATTCAAGGGATATGAGAAAGAACGATTTTATAAATGAGTGAATAAAATTTAATTGTGTTTCATTTTGCTCAATGTAATACAATTCACAACAACAAAAATGTGACAACTACAAAGAACAAAGCTGTGCTCATTTGGACAAATGATACAAGAAAAATGTCAAACTTTAGCAAATGTTCCAAAGAAATAATTACTGCAGATGAGAATAAGGCTATTCTTTTTTTCAATAAATTTTATTTATTTAAATTTTACAAATGTACATTAAATGAGAATCTGCCCAATTTTGTGGCACAGAATAAAAATAATAAATTCACCACAAAAAAAGAACTCCAGTAAAACAAAGAAGTTCTGGTAATTGCAGGTTTAATCCACATGAAGCACAGAATTAATGTAAATGATGACGCTGATTTTTTTATTTCAAAATGAGTGAAAAGCTAATGGTGCTATCAATTCTTATATCTGGGGTGTAAAACAAAAACAAGCTATACTGGATCAGGCCACCTCCTTTACCACCCGCCCCCTTGTAGGCAGGGGAAGTCACTTTCCAACAGGCTTTCAAAGCCAGTGCAAATTTTAAAGGGGAAGCTGCTTCCCCTTATCCAGCTATCCTCCGGCTGGCTTACAATGCCCCTACATCGGAAAAATCGAGGGAATTTTATCCTTTCCAAACAGTGATGAATGCAACCCTGCTTTCTCTCCTTGTACTGTTTGGAAAGGATCAAAGCACAACACATGGGGAAGAGCTGTCAGGTTGGAAAGAACCTTCCGGAGAGCCAGATGTCACCCGTGGGCTATAGTTTGGAGAACCCTGCTTTGGACTAATCATGTGACAGATTTTTCAAACGTACTTCCTGGTCTTCCAGGTTATGTTCTTCCAAGGTCTTTGAGGCACATCACATATCTGGGATCTAGCTCAACATGTCTTCTTGATCAAAGATCACAAATTTCTCTGTGGCCTATCTCTCCTGAGGATGCTAGTCAGAAATTGTCCATTGCCACTGAGCCATTCTTGCTGCCCCATTCACTCACTAATAGTGTTCCTGTAGATCTCTCTGAACTTGATAATTAGAGTGGTAATTAAAAGTGTGTGAACCCTTTTTAATTTTCAACATTTCTGCATAATATGACCTAAAACACTATCTGTTTTCCACATGACTCCTAAAATGAATTGAGGAATAAAGGAGTCAAAATATTATCATTGTTCATTTATTCATTGAGGAAAATGATCCAAAGCTACATATCAAATATGTGATCCTTTGCTTTAAGTAATTGGGGTGCTTCCTTTGGGTAGCAATAACTGCAACTTCTTTTTTTAAAAAAGAAAATATGTTAACATTTTTAATAAACATAGTAAAATTAATATAAGCCAAACTACAAGAAAATAGGAAAAAAGAAAGGTGGAAAAGAAAGAAAAATAATATAGTAAATAAAAATGTATAAAGAACTTAACCCCTTCATATGTTCATATTGTTCAAGTATGAACAATTGCAAATGTCTTTTCTCTTCATTTTTCTTTGTGTCTTCTCACAATTTTTTTATTACAACTTTAACAAATCTCTTTTGCAAATTCAATATGAGAAACTTAACCCCACCACTCATCAGGAAAAAAAAGGATTTTAATCCTGCTGTACAGGACTTTAGTTAGACCCCATTTGGAATACTATGTCCAGTTCTGGAGACCAAAAATGTTGCAAGGCCTGAAGGACAAAACATCAGAAGAGATAAGAGGAACTGAATGTGTAAGCTTAGAGGACAGAAGAGAAGGGGGGGAACATTGAAGTTGAATATATTAAGGGTATGAATAAGGTTCTAGAAGGCCGTATTTTCAATATTAAGCAAAAATCAAGAACACTGGGGCATAACCTCAAACTGACGGGGGAAGTTCATAAGTAACATTAGAAAGTATTACTTCACAGAAAGAGTAGTGGGTTGAACATGATAAGAGTCTGGGTTGTTAGCAACTAACCAGGAAAAATAGTTTTGGAATCATATTCTATAATCTAGTATAGGCAGTTTCAATAGCTGTGAAAAAGAGAAATTCCTTGCTATATGAATCATTAGGAAAAGGACTGAAACTAAAGCTGCTGACATTGCCATATTTTATTAGAAAAGCTGAGAATCTTTCGCTTGGAATAAAAAGTTATAGAAAG